CTTTTTTGTTTCTAATAATCGAGATATTGTTACATCCCATTTATATACTGCCATCTATAATATTTATATATAATATTAACATACACATATATAAGAACTAGGATATTCTCTGTGGCCTCTATTTTCTGATGTATTTAATAAAAACAAATAAACAACCCCCCCCCAAAAAAGAAAATCAATTGCTGGTGTTTCCAGTTTCCCAACAGAGATGCAGGACCAAACCCTGAGCAACTGCTCTGTGCTGTGGTTTTGTGGCAACAAGGAGTTGTGACCACTCTGCACCAGAGTCCCTGTTACCTCTCAGTGTCAGTGTACCGGGGAGGGAATTAAAAACAAATCTGCAACAAAAGCTCATCCAATAGCGTAACCTAAATGAATGTCTGTATTTCAAGACAGGACAAACTCAGAGCCTAATGGATTAATTCAGCGCAGCCCACAAATCTGGGTTTGCTGCACTTTACATGTGGAAGCAAAACGTGATAGCTGCATGTGTAACGCAAGAAAAACTGGAGACCATTCACACCAGCAGGCAGAAAACACTGGGGCAGTGCGCCGTCATGCTCCCGGCTGTGCTCAGGGCTGAAACTACAAGGGAAGGAGTAACTTCGGCATCAGTAGTGTTGTCTGAAAAGCTATGTGTGGAAAACCAAACCAACCCCAACCCCAGCCACCCTCGTGCTTTGGTCAGTGCAAGAGTCACGGGGGGTTTCAGTGGTGGAGAGCGAGGAAGCAGTTGCAGGGGCCAGGGCAACGGGGGGATTCTGACCTCTGGGCAAAAAGCACTCGTGTGTGAATTGCAGCAGGGTGATGGTCCTGCAGCTATCCTGGCTCAGCCTTCCATAAAAGAAATGCTTGGGTTTATGCTGGCTCAAAAAAAACCAAAAAAACCCCTCAGTCAATTCCAAAGGGGCATCAAAAGGCCCTCAGGAGCGTTACTCAAAGGTTTCCCATTGCTTTCTGAGCTGTTCAACCTTACCTGGTGTGGATGACACGTCCTGCTTTGTCTTTTTTAACAAATCTTCAAATGGATCTTTTGTCTCCTCAGGTTTTGAGGATAGCAACACTGACTCTAAGCCCTTAGCTGGCCTGGAAGGGATCAAAGGGGGTTCATTAGACAGGAGAGCTAGCGCTTGTTTGGGATCTACCTTTGAGCTGGACTGGCCCACCTGTAACGTTCTGGTTTTAGAAGGACCACTTAAACTCGCTGGCTGTAGGGAGCTTGTTGGAGAAGGGCTGTGGCTCCGCAGCAGTAAGGAGCGAGCTGGCGGCACAGCTGGGGCCTGGCTAAACAAGTTTGGCATGGATAGTGTTGAAATGTTTGGTTGAGGCCTTTGTGGTGGGTAGAAGCTAGAGTTAGGTGTTATGAAGCTAGAGCTATAAGCGTGACCTAAAGAGGGGGTGAACGAGCCCCTTGGGGGTCTAACTAGAGACACTGAAATGGCTCCTGGCATTGTTTGCGTAAATGGATTAGGAGACGGCTGTAAAAAAGGTGGTGGTGCTGGGGAAGGATAACCAAGGGGCTGGACAAATGGTGCAGCTGGAGGAGGCACAAAGTCACTTGTCACTGAGACAAAGCTAGCTGCAGAAGGTGGAGTGGCCGAGCTTTGCAGGCTGCGGGGACCTTGCTGTGGGCCACTGCTTTGCCAGCTGGCTGTTTTTAATGGATCCAGGAGATTAAGAAGGTAGTCGCTTTCATTACCTGTATTATCTGTCTTCACCTTGACAGGTTGGAGCATCTCAGCACTGCTGGTAGCACTGGACAAAAGCTGAGACGGATGAGAGGAATAACTTACAGACTGCTGGATTTCAGGGTCTAAGGACACACTACCAACTCCAAAGGGCTCTGGGATAAGATCTGAAACCAAATGGCTACGTCCTGTAGCGTGGGTGGCGAGATTTTCTGTCCGTCCAGCTGGAGTCTGATGCTTGGAAGCCCTGGGTGCTGGTGGTGGTGGCACTATCCCCAGTTCAGGAGTCTTTCTTCCCTGTGGCCTAGGAATGGTGATGTTCCCTTGAATGGCAGGATTTGATTCATCCTTTTCTGCAGGAGCCAGAATGCTGTCTCTGCTCCAGGGTCTCCTTGTGATCGGTGGCATGTTACCAAGTGCAGTCAAGGGCCTTTCCGGTGAGCTTTGGGAATACTTGGTGGGAATAGCCATATCATCGTGACCCATACTCCACAGCTTGTTGTAAGGGTGCGACAGCTTCATGGCTGGCACAATCCTGTTCCTCTCAGACACACCAAGATCCATTCTCTGCAAGAAAGCATAAAAAGAAAAGGTTAATTTTTATGCTCTGTGTTGTGAGGAGATCAGTAAAGCCAAGACGACAGGCTGCTGAGCTGTGAGTGGAACAGGATCTGTCCACAGACTGCGAACGCTGGAGAGGGACATCAGCATGCAGCCTAGATGGACACACAGAGAACCAGAAGCAGGACTCTGCGGTTTTAATTCCAGCTCTGCCTCTAATGAGTTTGCAGCTGTGACATTTTGTGGCATCTGTTGTTAGCCAAGTACGGAGCACGTACCTATACCTAAGGTACAGAAATTGAGAAGCCTTAATTGCTGTATGGAAAAAGCTGTCAAATGAAATATCTGGATATAACACTAAATTAAATATTATTATAATTTAGAAATTACATTATTTTCTTTCGTGACATGTGAAGATCTCAGAGTCTGCTTTAGTTTGGTGCTTTCTAAGCCGTACATATTCAGTGAAGTTCTTCATAAAGAATCTCTCTTCTACAATCTAGGTGTTCACATGATGCCTAGACCAAAATGGCCAGATTAAAAGAAGGTCATTTAAAAACCATGCAGTCTGGAGGGGACCTGAAAATTCCCAGGTATTGATTCCCACTGCTGAGCATCAGCTTCAAAGAGAACTCTGTGCAATAGTCAATGGACAAAACAGATTCTGAGAATAGGGCAAATATTTCCTCCCTTAGTAAAGGCTGTAGTTACTGGAAGAAGTTACTGTCTTATTATTGAGTTCCATTCCAGTAATCCTGAATTCAGAAATGAACTTTGAAACACATGAACAAATGGCTGGAAAATGGATGCATCTACCCAATAATAGGAAAATGTTCCTCAGAGAATAACGGAAGACAGCCAGCCCAGTCCTGTGCAAGCCCCAGGGTACAGGAAACCCCATCCAAACCTGGTAATCAAATGTGCATCGCTGATCTCCCTCTTCTTTGGGAGTCCGCAGGTCTTCTAGGCTCTTAGCTTGGCTGAGAGGCTGAGGCTGTGTTTCTACTTCTAATTTGGGGAAAATGTCTTCAAGAAGGTTGATTTCTGTGGCCTTGCTTGAGACCAGAGGGCTTGGAGGCAGAGGTTCTTTCGATTTTTCTGGACTGACTGCCTCTTCCCCATCAGCACTATCAGATTCTTTCAGGGCCCTGTATGGCTGAGGCCTAGGAGAGAAACAAAAATCATGTTGCAAATGGCTGCCTTTCTAATGTTTGTGGGGTTTTGTGTTTTTTTTTTTTTTTTTTTTAAACAAGTATTTACTGAGGAGCTGGATGGCTTTACAAAAAGCTTTTGGGTGGCAAAATACAGCTTGCATTGCCTTGTGAGCAGCAGGCATGTGAGCAAAGTGACTGGGGCAGAAGGGCGCACAGAGACGACTTGGCACTCGAGGGGTTTTCAGAAAGGAAAAACTTGTCACTGGGAAGTATTCCGAGAGCTGTGACCATGCAGTTACAGACAGGCTGATGAGGGAACTCTCTCGGAGCAGGGATAACGGGATGCTAGTGCTCCATTTTGGCAGTCTGGCCCTCCCTTTTATACGAGAAGTCAGAGCAAGTGCACTGCAAAGTGCCCTGTGTTTCGCAGCACTTACATTCTCCTGCTTCAGGCTAACTCAGCACAGAACATAATTCAGTGTTTTCCCGCAATAATTGGGAACACTGTGCAGAGTTCCAGTGATTACATTGGTGTCATCTTATCAAGAAACAACACAATCCATTATGGAGACACCTATTTTACATTTGCAGCCAAGGCCGAGTTAGCAGGTTGCTTTTCTTGCACATGCCTCAGCAAAAAAATGAACACCAGCAGATTTGCATATTGGTTGTGTGTACAGAGAACAGCAGCATAATGCGCATCCAATTAATAACAAGAAGTGCCATACATATCTGTGGTGATTGGCATTTGACTGGCAGCCAGTTTTACTGTGGCATTTAAACAAGGTTTCAATTAAAAGAAAATATTTGAGAGACCTGCAAAAACAGATACTATGGAAGAACCCTCCTCCTCTTTCCATATTTTATTATAATACATCTATATCATGCAAATTTATAAACAGCCCATCTTACTTCATTCATCAACACGTAAATAGCAGGCATTCAGCTAGCAACAGAGGGATGTAATAAGGCAAGAACAAGACAGACAGCTGATGGCAGACGTCCTTAGGCAGAGGGCGATCTAGCTGATCTCGGTCGTATCTTTGGCCTCTCACTAGCCCGTGCTCATCGGCTGAGCCCTAGATTGCACTGCAAACGCAAGCCCCCTCAGGAATATTCTGCAAACCAACCATTTTAGTGGCCTGGCCTCCTCCACCCCAAACACAGGAGTGCAGGAATGTTTTGCTGGCCCTTTGCTACTGAACCCTATACGTCTGTCTGCCTGTGCCCAGCTGCCTGCCGTCACGTCCCTTCCCTGTCAGTCTCCAAACCTGCCGTCTGCCATTGCACAGTGAATTTTAGCAACTGGAGACTCCAATCTCAAACTGGCAGGCTCGTGCTCCACCCCAGCCTAACGCAGCTGGACCTGGCAGGCTCCAGTTGCTCAGACGTGACTGGGCATCCACCTCCCAGGATCCAGAACTGCCCAGACCTGGCGTCACGCAGATTTCTGACACAGCAGCTCACGGTACCCTAGCACCTCTTTCTACAGATTCTGGTCAAGCCAGTAACTGCATTTGTTAAAAGACCGAGGGTAATTCTGTGCAATTTATCTTCTTTTCTCCCCCTAGAAATCCTCAAGCAGGTGAGGTTAGGAAAGAACAAATCCTCTGGATGACACTCAGTGAGGCCTTAGCTCAAGACTGCCCTCGGGGGTTGGTACGCTCAAACATGCAGCGGGAGGAATTTAGTACAGCTGAGTCAGCGTGCACGCTCCACGGGACAGCGTTACTCTCACCTCAAAAAGATACGCTCGGGCCCTGGGAAGACTTCCCAGGGAAACGGGAACTGACAGGCAACACCCGTTCCCCCAGCACGGGTACCCTGGGCAGCCAGTGCTTAAACATCCAGCTCTCACAGCCTGGTAGCTGCAATAATGCCAAGCTGCTCAGCACCGTGTTTCCAAACTAGGCAAGACTAAGTTGCAGAGGTTTGGGAATTACAACAATTCACAGATTAAAAAGTTGGATACAAATACACAGTGAGTAAACCCAACAAATGGCTTCCTGTTCCTTGTATAATTTTAGGTCAGCTATATTGCACTCAAACCCCTTGGAGGACATCTGCGTGGTGACTCCCCACCATCACCCGAGGACGTGGTCCTTGACAGAACAGAGAGGCTGGGATCAAGCAAGTGACACTACAAAAAGCTGGTAACTGCACTGCAATGAGGCTCACAGGACAACCCAAAAAGCACAGCTAGCACTGCACAAGGAAGAAAGGCAGAAGGTTTGGACAGGAACACAAGCAGCACATTGGAACAAAGGGCAGGTGGAAGGGTTACATCCCACAGGGCTCGAGTCCAGGTAAAACCGTAAGCTGTGCGTTGCTGCATAGTGTTTCATGCAGGGGTATGCTTTTGCATGCCGCTAAATACCAAAACAAACAAGCAGGAGAAATGCTGAACATTCATCAAGCGCCGAACAGAGACTGCAGGAGCATTTCCAAAATTCCAAGTATAGGAGCAGGCACCCTGACCAATGCAAAACCCAGTGTTCCAAGTCTGAATTAATGCAATGAAAGAATAAAGGATAGACCATTCAAAAGGAGCAGAG